CAAACTCAAAATCGAGGCTTTCGATTTGCTGCAGATCAACAAGCAGCATTAGCTTCGGGGGGCCCCCCGGGGGGCCCCCCTGGGGCCCCCAGGGTACGGGGGCCCCTCGGGGGGCCCCCGGGGGGCCTCACAGGGTAAAGGGGCTCCCTGAGGGGCCCCCCTGGGGGCCTCACAGGGTACGGGGGCCCTTCTGGGGGCCCTAGAGGGTACGGGGGCCCCCCTTGGGCCCCACAGGGTAAGGGGGCCCCCCGGGGGCCCCATAGGGGACGGGGGGCCCACAGAGTTTTGGGGGCCCCTCTTGGGGGCCCCACAGGGTACTCGGGCCGCACAGGGTACTAGAGGCCCCTCTTAGGGGCCTCACAGGGTACTGGGGCCCCACAGCTGAGGGACTTCTGGGGGCCCCCAAGGGCCCCTGGGGGCCCCGTATGACTAAGAGGGGGCCCCTATGGGAACGAAAAGGGTTCAGTTGCTTCTGAGGGGCCCCTGAGGGCCCCCTAGGGGCCGTAGGGGCCCCCAAAACCTTTTAAGTGCCCTTTTGAGACTTCTTTAGGGGCCCCCTTTTAGTCCTTTTAATCTTCAAAATGGGGCTCCACATGGGGCCCCTAATAGGGTCTTTAGGGGCCCCCAGGGGCCTCCAGGGGGGGCCCCTAGGGGCCCCAAGAGGGGCCCCCCGGGTCCCATCCTTGGGGTTTCTTGGTGACTCTGGGGGGCCCCTGAGGCCTAAACCCTAGACCTTAAACCCCAAACCCTAAACGCTAAACCCTAAGGTAAAGATTTCAAGTGGAGAGGCATAGAGAATGCAGGGAGGGCCCAAAAGGGCAAAGTTACCTAAACCCTAAACCCTCAGTGTCCCCTCCGGACACTAAACCCTAAACGCTAAAAGAGCGGTTTCGCCCTTTCTTGTCTTTTTTCTTATATCAAGAAATTCGAAAATGGGGAAGAGGACCCTAAACCCTAAACGCGAATGAGCTCTCGAGGGTTTAGGGTTTAGAGAAGAAAACCCTAAACCCTAAACCCTCGAGAGAGCTCATCACCGCGCACCGGCGTCGGTCCAGTGGTCAAAATCCTAAACCCTAAACCCTAAGGCCTCACAACTAATAATAAGAACTAAAAACTAAAAAATAAATTCAAAATGTATTTTGATTAAACTTTTAGAAAAGAAACAAAACGACGAAAAGGAGCTTCGGAGGCCGCAGCCCGGACTGCAATTGGAGTGTATGTACACCTGAATTTTCATTTCTTCATTTCTTTTTCTCGCCAAATTTAATCATTTTAAATTAATCTTCAAATTTAATTCAAAATATTACTTTATTTCAATGTTTTGTGGTCTTTCAACGCGGGTCCAGCTCTGGGATTTAGGGTTTAGTGTTTAGTGTTTAGGGTTTAGGGTTTTGCCGGCGCTGCTCCAAACCCTGAACCCTAAACCCTAGCGTTTCCTTCAATTCCCCAAACCCTCAAAAGATCCTCGAGGGCCCCAAGCCCAGCAGCCCCAAGGGGCCCCCGTGGCGGGCCAGCCTGGGTTTTAGGGTTCAGGGTTTAGGGTTCAGGGTTTAGGGTTTAGGGTTTAGGGTTCAGGGTTTGGACCCCTGGACAGGCGCCGGCGCATGGCCTTGCTAGACTCTAGAGGGTTTAGGATTTAGGGGTTAGGGTTTAGGGTTTAAGGTTTTCTTCTCCAACTTGCGAATTTCTTGAAGTAATTCTTTGAAATCTTTTCTTTCTTTCTGCAAAAACCCCCCTGAGGGCCCCCTGAGACCCCAGGGGGGCCCCCAGTACCTAACTAGGGCATTTCTGGCTTCAATTCTTTTCAATGGGGCCCCCAAAGGGCCCCCTTGGGGGCCCCCTTGGGGACCCCCTTGGGGGCCCCCCTGAGGCTCCAGAGGGGCCCCCTGGGGGCCCCCCTGGGTACTGTGGGGCTGAGAGTTTGTTGAGGGAAGTGGAAGAAAGAGACAAGAAGCTTTTTGGAGTTGTGACGCATGCAAGGGCCCCCAATAAACCCTATTTGTACCCTCCAGGACTTTTTTTAAATCGACAGAAGCCCCCTCCAGCCTTTAGACCCAGGGCCCCCGACCCCTGGGACCACTTGGGGGCCCCCCAGGGAGGGGCCCCCTGCTTTCAGCAGCCGGAGGGGCCCCCCAAGGCCCCGGGGGCCCCCAAAACGGTAGGGTACTGCAGCACCTGATGGGGGCCCCATAGGGGGGCCCATCAGGGGCCCCCTTTAAGGGCCCCCTTGGGGGCCCTTTAAAGGCACTTGTTTTAGGGGCCCTTTAGGGGCCCTTTAGGGGCCCTTTAGGGGCCCTTTAGCGGTTCATTAGGGGCCCTTTGGGGGCCCCCTAGGGGCCCTTTCGGGGGCCCCTGGGGGCCCCCGAAGATTGGAATTGGCGGGGACTTCCGGAGGGTTTGGGTGTTGTTTGCTGCAGCAGCCGGGGCGGCAGGGGAGGGGCCCCGAGGCCCCCTGGGGAGAAGGGTTCTTGGAAAAAAAAACAAAACCAAAAAGACCTCCAAGTAAACCCTTAAGTCTTTACACTTTGCCGGGAGATGCAGCCTTTGGGCCCCACACCCACTGCAGGGCATTACAGCCTTTCGAGGCCCTCCCTTTTGACGAGTACTTGGGGGGCCCCGGGGGCCCCTGGGGCCCCGGGGGCCCCCTGCGGACCCCGGGAGGACCCCTGGGGGCCCCCGGGGAGCCCCCCGGAGAGCAAAGACGCCGCTCAGGGGGGCCCCCCTGGGGCCCCCGGGGGGCCCCTGGAAGCCCCCGGTTCCCTTGGTGGGGGGGCCCCCAGTGCCGCGGGGGGGCCCCCCTTACTCATGAAGAACAAGAAGGTCTTTGGGAATTTGGAGTTGACTTTAGAGAAACTGAAGAACTCTTTGGGAGGCAGTTTTGGATGTCTCATGAGAGAGAAAGGTGGCGGAGGCAAGCCAATTAATTAATTAATTATTAGTTAATTAATCAATTGATAACTTGAATAATTAATCAATACATTAATTAGTTACAAATTAATTAACTAATTGTTTGATGGCTAGTTTAATTGCCCCGTTTATTTCCACGGGTCATTGGAGGCCGACTTTAGACGCGCTTCAAAATAATAGACAAAGAAAAGAAATAATGAATCAAAAACGAATGAAAATAAATTGGAAGTAAAGATAAACAAACAAATAAATAATAAATGAAAAATGTGCGAAAAGTAGTGGTGCTTGAGGTGTATCCGCAGGTCCAAACGGCTGCGCCATTTGCTGCAGAAGGGCCTCGTGAGGAGCTCTTTGGAGAGCTTTGAATTTAATAAATAGAAATAAATAAATTAAAATATATTAAAATAAATAAATTGAATTAAATGAATTAAATTGAGCTCAAATGGGGCACGAAAATAGCATTTCATGGCTCGCTGCATGTACACCGCAGACGAGTATCTGTGCCACGCTGCGGTGTATGTACAGCTTTGCTTCTTCAACCAAATAAAAACTAAATTTATTTTCCTTGTATTTTAAAATTCAAAATTCTATGCTAAACAAATAAATATAACTGGGCCAGAGGAGCATTTAAAAGCACATTAGAAATGAAAAAAGAATTAGAAGATGACACCAGCCACGTTCACTTTTATTATTTTTTTTCTTTTTTAACTAAAGAAAAGTATGATAATACACATTTGTAGATTTACTGGCCCCCAATTAAGTTTAATTTATTTCCTTTTTTTGTAATTTGCTTCCCGATTTATTTATTTATTTATTTATTTATTTTGTTTGTTTGTTTGTTTGTTTCTTTGCTAAGGCCGTCTTTGCTGCGGACCTCGAAGCCGAGGAATTCGCAGCAGATTGTAAAAAGTATTTAGAAGGGTCCAGGGGGCCCCCCGGGGGGCCACCCCAGCAGCACGCAAGCTGCAAACCAGCAGCAGCAGCAGCAGCAGCAGCAGCACGAGCGTGGGAAGACAGCAGCGCTGCTTTTGAGGGCCCCCTGGGGGAAGCCCCTGGGGGGCCCCTTAGAAGACACGGAAAGTACCCCCGGGGGACCCCTCGGGGGGCCTCCCATGGGGCCCCCCGAGGGGGCCCACCAGAGCAGCGGGGGCCCCCTGTACCCTGGTCTTATTACTTTGAAATTGGTAATGCATTTGAAGGAGCTGCTGAAGACTCAAATGAAGAAAAAGAATTTGAAGAGACACAAAAGGAGACACAAGAGCCCGATGACCCTAGGCTACAGAGTGCGCTGCTGCCCTGCACACAGCTAGCTAGCTAGCTAGCTAGCTGGCTGGCTAGCTAGCTGGCTAGCTGGCTGGCTAGCTGGCTAGGTAGCTGGCTGGCTAGCTAGCTAGGTCGCTCGCTGGACAGCTATTTGGCTAGCTCGCTAGGTAGCTGAGTGGATAGGTATTTGGTCAGCTAGCCAGATAGGGTAGCTGTTTCGCTAGCTAGCTACCTAGCTATCTAGCTAGCTAGCCAGCTAGCTAGGTGAATTGCTGCTGCTGCTGCTGCAGTGCTGCTGCAGGCATTCTGGAGACCGAAACAGTCAGGCTCTACGAGGCAGCCACAGGCAAACTCCCTTCCATCTTCGGGGGCCTCCGCAAGTTCAGGCAGGGCCACTTGCTGCTGCTGCTGCTGCTGCTGCTGCCGTTGCTGCCGCTGCTGCTGCTGTTCCTGCTGCTGCTGTTGTTGTTGTCGCTGCGATGGGACTGCTGCAACGGCATGTGAAGGAGCTAAGCAAGATCGTGCTGCTGCTGTTACTGCTGCCGTTGCTGCGGCTGTTGCTGCTGCTGCTGCTGTTGTTGCTGCTGCTCCTGCTGCTCCTGCTGCTGCTTAGGAAGGAAAAGCACCCCAAGGACATAACTGTCCCCTTTAATCGTCTGAAAGCTTATGGCCAGAAGATCGACTCCATCACTTCTTGCAGAAAGCTGCAAGATGTGCGTAGCAGCAGCAGCAGCAGCGGCTGTTGCTGCCCCTGGTGCTGCTGCTGTTGCTGTTGCTGCTGTTGCTGCTGCATTTGCTGCTGCCCTTGCTATTGCTGTTGTTGCTGTTGCTCCTGCTGTTACTGCTTTGGCTCTTCTCGTTGCCTCTGCCGTCGCACTTGCTGCTGAATTTAACCTCTCGCCGCCTCTGCTGCTGCTGCTGCTGCTGCTGCTGCTGCTGCTGCTGCTGCTGCTGTGGCTGTGAGCGCAGGAGGTGATGCAGGAGCTGCTGGGCCCGTGCGGCGGCAGCAGCAGCAGCAGCAAGCCGCTGCAGCACATGCCTCCGCCCAAGGGCGTGCGCAGCAACCCGAACTATTTGCTGACTCCCGAAAAGATTCAAAGAGCAGCAGCAAAGTTGCATGTAGACGTAGCAGCAGCAGCAGCAGCAGATCCTTTCGCCCCAATCGAGAGACGCAGAAGGGCCCTTCCAGCCGAACCCACCCGCATCCTCGGCGGCGGCAGATACGCCGTTTGATGTGGCTAGCTGGCTAGCTAGCTGGCTAGCTGACTTGCTAGCTAGCTGGCTAGCTAGCTGGCTGGCTAGCTGGCTAGCTGGGTGGACATCTGGCTGGCCAGCTGCATAGCTGGCTGGCCAGATAGCTAGCTGGGTAGCTTGTTGCAGAGCTTGCAGGCTAGCTAGCTGGGCAGCTATCTGGCTGGCTAGCTGGCTAGCTAGCTGGGTATCTAGCTGGCTAGCTAGATCGAGAGCTAGGTGGGCATCTAGATGGCTGGCTAGCTGGCTAGCCAGATGGATATCTGACTGGCTAGCTGGCTAGCCAGCTGGATAGCTGGCCGGCTAGCTGGCTAGCCAGTTGGCTAGCAGGCTAGGTGCTGGCTAGCTAACTATTGATTCGGCCTGCTTGGCTAGCTGGCTGTGGACTGGACTGGTGAACAGTTGGTTAGCTGGCCAGGGAGATGTCGATGGCTAGCTAGCGACCAAGCTAGCTAGCTAGGCAGCTAGCTAGCCAACTGGTTACCCAGTCAGACAGCTAGCCAGCCAGAGAGTTAGCTATCTAGCCAGAGTGCTAGCTAGCTAGCCAGGCAGCCAGATAGACAGCTAGCTGGCGAGCCAGCTAGCTGCACAGCTAGCCAGCTAGGCGGCTAGCTAGCTACACAGCTAGCTAGCCGGACAGCTCAGTTGCTGATGACTTAGGCGGGCAGCTAGCTAGCTACTAGCTAGCCAGTCAGACACAGAGCTGCTTTGGCCTTAGCTAGCCGCTGCAGCGGAAACAGCTAGCCAGGTTTATGTAGCCACGCTACAGCTAGCCGCCTCTAAACCCTAAACCCTAAACCCTAGTGAGGCAATGCCTCTTGCTGCGGCACAAACTGGCCCTACGGGGCGGCCCCATCTAATACTGGTGCTGTTGCTGCCGCTGCTGCTGCTGCTGCTGCTGCTGCTGCTGCCCGAGCATTTTGGGGCTATACTGCTGATCCTGCAGCAGCAGAGGACTAGACATGGCTAGCTGTGGCTAGCTGTGGCAAAGTGGTGCTCAGTAGCCTTCTGCATATTTGCTGCTGCTGCTGCTGCAGCGCTTAAATTTTTGTTTGCTGCTCCTAGCTTCTGAGTCATCGGGGCATCTTGCTGTTGCCTCCTGCAGCAGCAGCAGCAGCAGCAGCAGCAGCAGCCTTTAGAGCTGCTGCTGCTGCAGCCTGCTGTAGCCGTTGCTGCTGCGAATTTCGCTGGGCTGCAGCAGCTGCCAGCTAGAAAACATACCAGCTAGCTAGCTAGCTGGTGAGCTAGCTGGGTAGCTGGTGAGCTAGCTGGATAGCTGGTGAGCTAGCAAGCCAGCTGGTGAGCTAGCTAGATAATTAGTTAGTTAGCTAGCTAGCTAGCTAGCTAGCTAGCTAGCCTCAGCATGGGGCCCCCCTGTGGGGACCCAGATAGGGGGCCCCTCTTGTGGGGGTTTAGTATTATTGCTGAGTTGGTGCAGCCTCCTCACAAACTGCTTCTCCTGCAGCAGCAACACACTTGCGAACAAGCATTGCGAGTTTTCTGACCTGCTGCTGCTGCTGCTGCTGCTGCTGCCGCTGCTGCTGCTGCTGTCTGGGTAGGAGCCGTTTTTGCAGGTGCCCCTGCTGCAGCAGGAGCAGCTGACTGCACTAGCACCTTTCCTGCCACTACTAGTATTACCGCCACTCCTGCTCCCGCTGCTGCTGCTTCCGCTTCTGCTGCTGCTGCTGCTGCTGCTGCTGCTGCTGCTGCTGCTGCGCTTACTCTTGAGCCTAAGGAGCCTCCCCTCCCCCACAGGAGTGAAGTGCAGCCCGTCGATTGAAACTTCTAAGCTGCAGAGGCAAGACCCTTCGCTGCTGCCCTTC